CTCAGAGAGCTCCTTCTCGTCGTACAGCACACACTCCAGCCCTAGCAGTGTCGCACAAACACACGTGTCACACACACACCAGGGGCAGCCTGTCAGAGTGTATAGATATGTGTATCCGTCAGCTAGGTGGCCAGGTTCACATTATCCCTAAGAGTTAAATAATTCTCATTCATTATTTACCCAATGACTTAGAGCGGTTGACTCCGTTGAATATGTTACGATGCATATGCTCGACTACCTGTGGTTAATTAGCTTAGCTGCTACATGTCTCCTGCTCTGCGGAGACACATGCAAAAGCTGCCCAGAGGCAAATTATAAATGAGAAACAGGTTATTAGGATCCTGTCATGCATACTAAGATGTTATGACTGTCATAAAAAGCACAGTAGCGAATACAGGGAGCGGTAATTATCATTTTAGGGGGCTCTCTTTTACTACCGGCTCCTGATAATAGCATCTACTGTCAACAACAAGAGGAGTGGTCACAAGCTGGAGAATAAATAATGAAAGCAACCAGAAAGTCTCATTGTGTCACAGCACACACCCAGTCAGGTAGAACCTAATGAAATCTCATCTGCATTAGTAATAATCTGTCAGGGCTTGGCGGAAAAAGAGCGCTGTTCCAGGTGCTGGTTAGGAATGCAAAACAAGGGCCTTCTTCACAAATCCCCCACCTCCTCCCTACCTCCCAATCTCTTTCCTGATACTTTTTCGAGGATCTTCACATAAACAACACCTGCACTATTAACACCGCCGCTGCCACAAAGCGAACCTGCCTTTCTGTCCTGTTCTAATCCATCTTTCCTCTGTGGCAACCTGATCCTGCCGTTTACCCACCTTTCTCTTCCTCTGTAGCACGCACACACTCACTGTTTAACACACGCTTCACAGAACAGTAACTAATAGCAACCTCATTCATTAAAACACCCCTTGATGTTTCGCACGGAGGCAGGGTAAATGTGCTGGAACGCCTGCCCTGTCTGTATGCTTGTGCAACGCTAACAACAGATAGAGAGACAGATAGACAGGTGGGGTGGGGGGGGGGGGGTTCGTCTTACACTCAGCCCGAGCTGTGACTGCACCACCCCTGATGGAGGCAGATACATATTTCATCAGTTATTACTTTCGACATACAGGCTGGCAGTGCTAGAGATCCTACCGCAGCATTGGCTGCACCCATCTTCACCCATCTTCACTGCTAACATGTATCAAAAGGTACTAAAAGTAGAAAGTGCAGTGAGTTCCATAATGTGAGCCTTTTTTTAAGTTTCCATCCGGATGCATTAAGATCTGTTCTGCCAGAGGCCTTTTGCTTCACACTGATAAGCACTGCGAGTACTGGCCACTTCAGATCACTGGTGACATCAACAAGCCCTTTCCCTCCCTCTCAGACACTCATTTTCCTTTCAACCACAATGACTAGTAGGCTATATTCTCCTGCTCTACAACTGTATGTAACATGAAGGTTTCTCCAGCAGTATGAAGTCTGTGATGTGTGCAGGTACAAGCTGGCAGGCGCTGACATGTGAGCAATACAGCTTCAGGCTTCTGAGTTGTTAATATTAAGATGTTTAATTACTAGAGGAAATTGCTCTGTCTCTATCTCTTTCCCTCTGTCTTGTGGCCATTAAGCAAGCCTCTGTAAAACTGCCACGACGAGGAAGCCTTTCTGATGGGTACGGAAAAGAAAAAGCAAGAAAAGAACCATGGAAATAGAGGCTAAAACAGTTTACAGCCGTTTGGACGGACAAACTCAAAGGTGGGGTACAAAGAGAGGGGCTAGACGCAAACGATATTTGCTCTAAATACTGGGATAAAGGCTTTCAGATAGTCACTCCAGAAAGCTGTTCATAGTGTTGCACTTATTCGTGCACACAAAAAGTAAGAATGAAAAGAGAGCTTGAGAACGAAACACTGCATTCATTCTCACCTTCGTCAGTCGCTGCACGTAGTGGGTGTGATTGGCAGATTTACGGTTTCCTAAAGTTACAGAAACCAGATGTAAAACCCCTACATTTCAAGATTTTAAGTTGAGGAATACTGACCCCTTAAATGTAATTTGAGTGTCTGTTATGAAGAGTTTGAGTTATTTTCATTGAGTATACCGGCTTGGGTTTGAAATGTGGGAATCCCAGTTGGCATTTGTGCTTAAGAAGCAGCAATGAACCAGCTTCAGATCCATGCAAACCTCCACTGGATATACTTGAAGGCATGAAAACAGAGCAGCCTTTGGCAACACCACAATCTCAACACCTAAATAACAAGGCCTTTGGACAATCAAACAAACTATCACTTAGGGGGGAAAAGTGTCTTCCTCTTAACATCCTTCCACCACAAGGCCAGCTCCTGCCAGCTGCATTGCCTCAGGAAAATCTAGACAAACTTAAAAATTATTGCTGCATTCCCCCCATCCCATGGTCTTTCGATGATGAGATAAATAGGACAAACACGCCCAATTGGGACAAGACAATAATCCCTTTATCTGGCAAAGGGTAAGCTTGACTAGCTGGCTTACCTGTTACGTCAGAGGCTAAAGGCTAGAGGGAGGAAGGGTAGTAGGAGAGGAAAGGAGGATACATGCAGGAGGACCAGGTGAAGGTCACAATTGACTGAGATGAGGAAGTACAATCTACACAATAATTAAGAACACAGAGTTTATGGTTATAATATATGTTAACGATAGTAGACTGTATTGAAGTACAGTGGCACTGAGTGAATAAGTGCCACAGACAGGCCTGTTTGACAATGATAGATGAGCTCAGATACATGAGCCTGTATTCACTAAGCACTGAAGCGAACAAAGTTGAAACTCTAAGCACCCTGAGAGCTGTTCTTGCAAATTGCACATCACTTGTTTACCTTGAACACTAGTGTTTTATTTGCATGAGTCAACCTTGTGGAAAATCCATAAGTCATTTACAAGGCTCTTACAGCACATGCAATGCTTTCTTTGGCATATAAAAGCCAAACAGCCATGTGTGAGGCAAACGCAAGCGTTAATGGCTCTGTTTGTATAATGTCTGAAATGGACTCGAAATACTCTTCACTCATATATTTGAAAAAAGTGGGACAGATTTCTCTGAGGATTCCTCCTTATATCTTATCTTATTTCTTCCTCATCAACAAAAAAAAACGGTATATCAAAGAAGACGACAGGGGGATGTTTTTGCTTTTGTAAAGGATATAGAGTAACACAGAGCCAGCAAGTTGGAGCTGGCAAATCCCACCTGTATGTAATCTCTACCCTATACAGGTAATGTCTGCACAACAGAAAGAGAAACTATCACGCAATCATCTCCTCTGAAGTCATCAAAGATGGTTTGATGTTCTCCTCTAAGCCTTTGAACTCACCATGAACTCTGCCAGCAGTTGGAGTTTGTTTGCTGCCCAAACGGCATGCAATGCTAGGACACCCGTAGTGCTCATCTCCCATGAGCTAACTCTTTAAATTGTAAGACTTGCCTCATTCCTTACAATGAGACAACACACACTACAAACCATGTGACACACAAACACCACTCCCATTGCCTCAAACTAGGTTCACCAAGGCGCTGGTTTTGGTTTTGGTAGCTGATGGGTAATTTTTCTGGTCAATCTCAGCCTTCTTTCCCCTCTTCTGCTGCCAAGAGGAAATGAAGGGATGATCTCTCCACTCTCCTCCACTCGTCACTCCCCGAGAAAACAAACAGGAACATTTTATGGCCTGCTTGTTGACCCAAAGCCCACGGGCACCAACAACCGGCTACTAGAGGTGTTTACTTCAGGATGAGCTACTTAAACTGATATAACAGCAGTGCCCTGTTGACGATCAAATTCCCATACAGGGATCCTAATATATTGTGGATTTAAGAGACAGTCTGGGAGAAGTGTTTATAAAGTCCAGTTCAATAAACACTATAGCTCATATAAAGTAATACACCTGTCAGATATGATAAAAGTCTATCCACAAAGATAACAAACTCTGAATCCACTGTGTGGTACCACGGCTCACACACACCTGTTCTTCTCTTTGCCTCGACCCCCAGCACCGGGCCTGAGCCCCAAACAAAGCTCCTCTCTGTACGGATATGGACACTGTTTGATTCCTCGCACAGTTCCCCTGACGCTGCCTCCGCTGAAACCTAAACACACTGTTTGCTATGGGCGAAAAAATACTGTTTAAGAAGTACTGTGAAGAAGAAAGGAAAGGGCCTACCCAGGAAGACTCATCTGGTTCTAATGCAGGGCCCGCTGGTGTGGATTACAGGCACATATTACCGGAGAACTCAGGCTGACCCCTCATCTCTATCCCTGGGGAAATGGGAGCCCGCAATGGTGATGGGGGGCTGAGGGTACGGGGGCCTGGGGAGCAGAGGGGTGAATAGATGCCTGTGGGCAGGCTGCCACCCCACGATTGGTACCGTTCTTCAATGAGGGAGTTTCTCTGAAATCTTTTCAAACACCTTCCAAAAATAGAGAAAACTTTTTCCCATGAACCTCTCAAAGAGACAAAAAAAGTAATTTCTTCAAATATTTCTAACGGTCTGTCTCGTCTTGACCAGTTTCACCAAGTTTTGGAAGAACTTAAGAGGTTTTTAACTTTTTGTAACACTGCAATATGTTTTCACATTAAACGCAAAAAGCAGCTGTTTACTCAGCAAGCCTCTGAGTTTTACTATGTTATCCCACACTGGAAGGGGAGTTAACAACGAGAGTAACAAGCAAAGAGTGAGAGAGAACTTCAGCGGCAGCTCATAAGGTTGGCAAAATATCACATGGGTGTTTGGCCAAATAATCATCTCAGCTAGGAAAACATTCCTATTAAAGCTGGGATAAATCAAACAAGATGCAGAAAGCACAATAATTATCCAAAAAGAACGGACAGGAACAGGAACAAACAACAGGACATGTCTTTCTTCAAGCCATTTCCTCTTTGCATCTGCAATGTTACATAAATGCCTAATTTCTTTCAAATCCATTTCATAACAAAAATAATTAAAATGCCAAAGTTCTAGCTCTTACCTGTAGTATCTGGACTGTAGATAAGTGGAGCAGACTGCTTTTGACACATGGCTGGCGGAGCCAAAGTCAATGACTTTGACCCGATAGGGCTGTCGAGACGGGTCCACCAGCATGATGTTCTCTGGCTTCAGGTCAGCGTGGATCAGGCCCAGGCTCTTTAGTTTCATTAGCGCTGTGGCCACCTGCTGTAGCACGGGTCTGATGTATTTGAGCGGCAGAGGGCTGAACTTGTTCTGCTTGAGGAAGTCGTACAGGTTCTGCTCCAGCATCTCGAATACCAGGCACGTGTGGTTCTTGTGCTGGAAGCACTCGTAGGCCCTAACAAAGTTGTAGTCATCCGCATTCTCCGTGCTGAGACGCGCCAGGATGCTGACCTCGATCTGACCCTGCCGTGCATACGACGGGTGATTTTTCAAGATCTTGATCGCCACAATCTCGTTGGTGCCCCTCTTCCAGCACTTAACCACCTGTCCAAAGGTTCCTCGCCCCAAGAACTCCAGCACTTCGTAGGTGTTGGTCATGGAGCAGAGAACCTCATGCTGCACCAGCTGGTAGTCCCCCTCGCTGTTGGAGCCGCTGTTCTTGGACGTTGCAGTGGAGGTGGCGGTGGCCACTGTGGCCACCGTGGCTCCACTGGCTGCTCCGTTCTGGATCATCGATGGGCCGTGCTCCTCAATGATCTGCACACTGCTGTTGTTGTCAAGCTCCTCACTTTTGCGTTTAAGCCCGCATCGCTGGTAGGTGTCAAGAAGGGTGACCGTGCTCCGGCGCGTCAGGTTGTGAAAAGCAACCCCGCCACCAACGCCACTGCCGGCGCCGCCACCTCCACCACCACTGCTGCTGCTGTTGCTACCTCCACCCCCGCTGCTCAGCAGAGACCCCAAGGCCCCCGAAGTGCTGCTTGCTGAGGCGACCACAATGTGGCCCACGCTGGCTGGGAAGATGAGTGCCTGCTCGTAGGGCAGGGTGGAGCTGGCGACCTGCAGGGAGCTGTTGATGCCAAGGGGGCCACTGGCTGCCGACAAGTTCTTGCTGCTGTTGTGGCTGTAGACTTTGCTGTGTGTGCCGTACCCTGTCATATCCCAGTTACAACTCTGCTCCACCTTCAGTTTCTTCACGCTAAAGAAGGCACTTGATTGGAGAGTGTGAGGGGAGAACACTTGCACTTGCGAGGCCATACCTGTAACAAGAGGGGGGCAGAGGGGAGGGGCAGAGAGGGGAGGGGGGGATGAAAGGGAGAGGTTAGGAAATTGAGAGTGTCTGAAACACGAGTGGTAGCCAGGAGCTTTAAATAAAGACAGCTTGGGTCAGAGCAGGTTATTAAAACACCAAGCATAAACGCTGAATCTGATGCGTCAGCATATTAACCTTTTGAGCTCTTTACCATCACAGTAAAGTAATAAGCATTAAATAACCTCCAAAATATCCCAAAGCATTCATTGCTTTGGCATTAAATTGTTTTATGTTTCATGAAGCATTTTTTTAATCAGATACTGCGTCATCAAAACTCTTGGTAAATTGATTTGTTTTTAAATAAACTGACAAACATAAATAAAAGCTAGAATGCTTAGCAGAAAGATAAGCTGGTTTAGATGTGCTTATGCAAACCACTGGTTCATGTTGAGGAAATGCCATCTCCCCACTGTTCCCATCTGCAGGAAAGCAAATAGGCTGAGGGAATACTAAAAGAATACCCTTTCATGGGACACTCCAGAGAGGGCAGAGCAACCAAAAACCGTACACAAAAACAGTCCCACAAAATAGTCTCAAGGAATGATTGCAATTTCCTTTCCCACTACTCTACCCAGCCGTTGCATTTATTACTACACAATTACTCACTTTAGAAAAGGTGGAGGAAGAAATGTGGTTAAAGAAACTATGAGAACAGGAGAGGGGCACGGGACTCCCTCTCAGCTACAGATGCAGAAGACAAAACAAAACTGTAGCGAGGCTGTGCTCTGAACTCCTGGGAACAAGCTGCCTCAGAATAAGCAAACGCTTCTCCAAGCAAACAACTGGCCAAAAATAGTCAATTTCTTTATCTCTTGCTTTGCAAACAGGCTTGTTTGTATCATTGAAATGATTATTACAGCACAAGGAAGATTATAAGAGACTTCTAGCAATGCTATGTTTAAACAGTTTCCAGTAAACCCAAAATGAGTTCAATGCTAACAAACTAAGAGCTTCCACCTGTCTTAGCCAACGCCGATGCAATTAGAACTCGCTGTTGATCAACTGATGCAGGAATCAAAGAACGCTTCAGTCGCAGCTCGCACACAAACGTATAAAACACATAAACTTTGTTTGCTGCTTTTGTGTGTTTAATAGACGTCTTGAGAACTGGAAAAGTTTTGTTCTGCTCAAAGATAATTGGAGGAGCGTTCACCTCCAAGATGGAAGGACTTCCAAAATGGTAGGCTCTCTACTGCGGACAGAAAGCGAAGAGGAGGGGACATGCCTGGTCACTTTGTCATCATTAGCCCTTTGAGTAGTGATGATGATTAATTCAGTAGGAAGTTGGCAGCCCTCCACTTTACTTTGCCTCATTTGTTTTTTTGAATCTCTCCTAACCTCTTTTCCTCTTCCTTTTTTAAGAATTTTTTTTGGCCCTCTGTAGCCTAACTTGGACTTATTAGTTATTGGCGCGGTCATCAGGTCTTAACCCTAATGAAGCAGGATTGAAGCTGCACATAAGAGAGCCAACTGTAAGCTTGGTAGGGTGTTGTACATTAGCTATAGCAGCTCCTCCATGCTTACAAATGTTTTTAAGCCTCAACTATGATAATTGCACATATGTAAACAATTAACTTAAAAAAAAAATAGTTTTGAGTGCCTACGGCCTTTGAGTGCCTACATGATGACCAGTCGTGTAGTCCAGGGAGGTAAGGAAGATCGTCCACTAGGCTATTAGGGGCAAGGCTCTCTGCTAATCACATAAACCCTGGAGGCCAGATGTCACTCCTTGGATTACCAATTCCTGTGCCTGGACTTTACGCTAAAAATAATTTGAATGATCGGATGGCGTCACAGAGCAGCGTCAGCAGTGTGTGACTGAGAGTCTGACAGGATAATCACAGACTGATGGACACAAAGATGGATGGACAGACACAGAGCTGGCTTGTTCCTCTTATGGAAAATCCCGGCATTACATATCTGCCAACATTATTATGGATAGCTCAGGTTTTACAAGGCCAGATCGAGGCTAGCTGCTCTTTGCATTAGCATCACATGAATTCCTCTTCAACCCTGATCTTAGTCATTCATTGACTCTGTCAGTTTTAACACTGTGGTCAAAGAGTTCATTTGACATTGACAACATGGTGCAATGAACTGAAGGCCACACATGTTTCCCTAAAATGGGAAAGCTGACAAAAATATTTAGAAATGAAGAGGACATTCTTGAAATTCTGCACAGCTGGTTTTTGCCACAAAACTGAAATGTGTACAAACAGCACCTCAGTTTAAAGCCCTGTGCGGAACACAGATAAGACATGAAATGGACCAAAAGTAAGAGGTCAAAAGCCTGGAATGTTATCTCATGACAACATACACAGGCAACAATGTGACCAATTATACTTGATTGGGAAAGCAGCTCCAGTCTGCATTAATCATTCTTCATACACACTGAAGTTCAAACACATTTATGATCTAGAATCTGCCAAACCCACTATACTGTTGTCAGAAACAACACAAACCTTCCCATGGAAATGTCCTGTTGAAGTTTATTTGAATTTCTGAAGCCAATGCCAAGCGCAAAACTGTTAAGGTCCATTGTTGTGCATTTACAATGTTGGAATGCCTTCAGTAGCCAAGGCTTTCCATTTAGCATACCTAAAGGAACACTGTGTGTCCCACATACTGCAATTAAGCATACCAGAGCGGCATTTTCCACTGTTTAGAGGCAGCATGTTGAAATGGTAGGAGTCAATGTTTTCAGAGAGATTATTTCTCTGTCAGGGCTTTGTTAATCTTCTTTTTGGGAGGATCAGGGACGTTTTGCATGCCATGCGAGGGCGAGAGATGTACTGAAAGGGAGGGAAGGGGAGCGGGGCTGCGAGTGGCCCTCACACTCGCCTGTGACCTGCTTCTGTTTACTCTCTTTTATTAAACCCGCCATTTATACTGACAACATGACAGAGAGTATTGATGAGGACGCCTTTAGAAACCACCAAAACCTGCCAAGTAGTCCTTTGTAATTACAAATAGTATTTTAATATAAAACCTGCTTATCGTTCATCTCATCCATGCCTCTGCTCAAAGCTCTGGGCTTTATACAAATCATAATTTAAAATGATTTAAGTCTGAGATAAAGATAAATGTATTAAAATCCAGGGCAACTAATGATTATATTCATTATCTGTTAATCTGTTGATTTACTTTCGATTAATCCTTTGGTCTATAAAATGTCAGAAAATAGAGAAGAAGATTCACCCAAACCATGGTGATGTTTTGTCAGCGGTATATTTAATAAAATATCATATAAACTGAAAAAATAAGGAAATATTCATATTTATCTTCCTTTTTACATGGAAAATTACTTTATTTTCTTCTTGAAAAATATAAGTTTAAATAGATACCTCAGCAATTATCTGGGATACTTTTCAGAGACATCAGTCAGGTCTGTGTGGTCGGTGTTCCCTGGTCTAGATATATTTGGACTTTTTCCTTAGGACTAATGGCTACCGACAGCGACTGAGACGCTCTGATGACCCTGTCTCTTTACTGGACATCCCAGTGTCTTCAGGACTGAAGGGTGGGGAGGGGGTTGAATCACAGGCTAATGAAATGAATTCTGACTGTCTAGACAAAGCATTTTAACACCCTTCGCCGTAGTTTGCATGTACTTGTCAGAGCACTTCTCACTGCACCTCCATTCCTTTTTGAAACCCCTGACACAAACAGAGACAAACTAGAGGGAAAAATACTTAATGTCTCTTAATAAAATATAAGCAGAAGAGCTTCAGTTCACCATGTTATAAATTCTCCAAGGAGAAACTCTGGAGGAACATGATTGTTCCAAAAGACATTCCTTTATTTGGAACATGGGCGTAATTTCCACTGGGGACAGGGGGGACATGTCCCCCCCACTTTTCAAAATCCCATTTGTGTCCCCCCCCACTTTTTAAATGTGTAAGCGGTCATCGTCACGGAGGAGCGTCTGTGTGGCACGAGCGCATCTTGTGAGAGAGAGATAGAAAGAGAGAGAGACAGAGAGAGAGAGACATAGAGAGTTACGGGGGTTGTTGTTAGCATTGGTGCTAGCTCGGAGCTAACGGAGATTAGTAGCTGTTTCAACAATAAGGAGAGGGAGAGCTCTTTCCTGTCGGACTTTGAGAGACTGAGAGAGAGAGAAAGAGAGAGAGAGAAAGAGAGAGAGAGAGACTGAGAGAGAGACTGAGAGAGTTACAGGGGTTGTTGTTGTTAGCATCTGGTGCTAGCTCGGAGCTAACGGAGATTAGTTATCTCAGTGGGTCTCAAACGGTTTGGTCATCTATGTAAACAAATATTTCCATCTATGTAATATTGGTTGTATATAAAATAAGTTAAGAAATCCTTCCAATGTGTACTATAGGTCAGTACAAAAATAAAAAAACACAGTTTGAAAGGGGAGTGATTAGTAAAATATGCATAAACAAAAAGAAAGAATGCAGACTAGGCAAGATAAAGATAGGAGAGAGGAGTTTATCAATGATTTGTTATTGCTTGTGAGAATATTCTAATGGTTTTTTGATTATTGAAATATATACAGTTCTGTTTCATGAGTGTTGAGAACTGTATCCATAAATCTCTTAATGTTGCCCTCAAAGTGCACCAGATTGATGCATTCAACTTCAATTTAAAGAAACAAATCTTCCCGGGGTGCATGCCCCTGGACCCCCCGGCTAGAGGATGTGAGGTCATCACAAATAAAACGGGTTCACATGGATAGGATACTAGATAAGTGTGCACACTCATTATATACACTACACATTTTTCTTGGATTTGTTAACACTATAGTCCCTAATATATTTGTAGAAAGGCAGGAAATGAATTAAATTGAGAACATTTTTCATTGTGGAGGACCCCCTGTTTTGTGTCCCCCCCACTTCTCAAACCAAAGTTACACCCTTGATTTGGAGTGATAGTGTCTTACAGTCAGTCCAAACTTTCCCAAAGCGGTTCCATTGGGTTGACTTAAGG